CGAAATGTTATATTCTCTATCACCTACTTTTCTTATGAGATTGGCAATGCAACCTTCACATATTAATTTAGGAATAATTTTTTTGACTACGAAACCTGTTATATAATATAAAATGTTTTTTGAAGCAAACTACTATCATTCACATTGATACAATGATATAATTCTTTGTTCTCAGCGTCGTCAAATAAATTGTCATTAATATCAGAATCTGTGCTATCTGTGCTAATGTTATCATGCCAATATTGAAAATTTTTTTTCTTCACCCATGTTAATTTAAATAGTACATCGTTTTCTGTATCAAAACCGGTACAATTAGCTTTCACTGATGCTGAAATTGAATTTTTTACTAATAAACTTTTCATAGCAGCTTTGAATTGCAGCACATTTGGGTTGTTATTCCAAGTATGTCGCCTTCGCACTTGCGCAAAAAATAATTCTAAGTGATCCTGGCTAAACCTGTATGTCATTAGATATTTAAAACAGAGTTCTAACAAAATATTTTTAGCTATTCGAAAAATTGATTTAACAGCAGCCGCAAAACCTACGATAAAAGCTTTTCGTCTACCAGCACATAACTTATTGTTGTCAGGTCCCATTAGAGTATATAAATATTCAATTTTTTGTTCCATTCTTTGTTGCAAGAAGTTAATATTATTATAAAAAATTGGTTTTTTAAATCCCTTTCCGAAAGGATTGCGGGAATTTAAAAAATCGAAAATTTCGTCAATTGCCTTGATAAATTCTATTGTGCCAGCACAGTCTTTAAATTCTTCAATTTCTAAAAATTGTAAAAATTCCAAAGCAGTAGCAGTTGAAGAACTTAAAGTCTGTGCTGCAAGCTTTACCTTCATAATATTAGCTTTAAAATTTACATGCGCAGAACTAAGTTTATTTGCAAATTTTAAATTAAGTTCGAGTTGAAGCTTATGTAAATTTGTTACATGGTACCAATTGATCTGCGCAGTGGGAGATTTCATAATTTTGAGATCACCTAACGCGTTCCGGGCAAGCTTTACATTATGGCAAGCATCGGGTACGAAATGTACATCGTAACCGGAGCTGGGATGTTTAAATATGCTTTTTAGCTCACAGTAATTTGTCGTATACAAATTGCAACCTAATAAATTCATTGTTGAATAATTGACATGAGCTCCGTCACACGTAATACTCCATACCCGAATACCCGATTGTTGCGACATTATTAATGCTGTTTTTACCAATTCAGCTTGCACTGCAGCAGTTATTTTATCGACGAAAAAATAACCCACGGGCCACTTCCATGTACCTCTAAGAGAAACCAGCATGAAAACGAGGACTTCGGTGGCTTCAGTTTCTGCAGCTTCAATAGATATCCCATTGCCGTATTCGCACAATCCAACAAATTTTTCAGATGTAGCATCCCATAGCATCTGCTTTCGAATCGCCATCGAATCAAATACTAAATTGCAATGACGCGAACCTTCTGGGAATTTTGATATCTCTTGAAAAACATCAGTCATGAAACCAGGTTCCACATTAATTGACGAAATCCAATTTCTGATGCTGCTTTCATGCGGCAAATGTAGAATTGATCTGAAAATGTTAAAATAAATGTTTTAAATATTAATTTAAAATCTCATAATAAATAAACAATGACAATTTGAAAAATGTACCTGCAATAATTATAGGCCTTCGGCGAGTAAAAATGTAGAGTTACAGCAAATTTTTTTATTTCATCGCTGTATCGGCAACCTTTCTTATTTTTGTTTTTATTGACCCATTCGTTCTGGAACAATTCACCAATGCTTCCGCCAAAATTTTGAGCAATAACCTCACTTGGATCTCTCTCAAGAAGATTCTTTGCTCTGTTCATTATATATACGATTCAGTATATGTACAATATATAATTTTA